CTCTCTCTCTCTCTCTCTCTCTCTCTCTCTCTCACACTCTCTCTCTCTCTCTCACTCACACACACACACACACACACACACACACACACACACACACACACAACACACACAAGAAGAAGAAGAAGGTGGTGATGGAGGGACGAAGGAGAAGCTGGACGGAGACGAGGAGGAAGAAGAAACGGTCCTCTCTTTCACCTGCCACTGACGATGTTGGGCCGATGGTGGCTGCTGCAGGTCGAAGCCGGGCTATGGCGCCCAGGTAAGTGTCTCAATCTCGGCGCGCCTCCTACACCCACTCCCCGATCTGCCACAGTGCAGCTCCAGGAACACCAGTGCTGCTCTCCAGCAGCGCGTCACCCCAAAGTGTGCACCCGCAGGATCGGATGATGTCTGATGCTGGGCACACGTCCAGCTATATGGCGCTGGACCTGGTCCTGGTCCTGAGCCTCAACAGCCTACGGTCAGGGCCATCCGATCGAGTGACGATTGACGGTCCTGATCATGGGCCCAAGTCCTGGTCCAAGCACCATGGACAAACCCAAACCTGGCCTACAACAGCCTGCCTGCGATCTGGTCCTGGCCTACAATGGCCCACTTGTCAGTCCACTGGTCCAAACTGGCACTTCGTGTTGGGACAATCCAAAAAATCTGAAACGGCACATCTGCAAAAGACAAAAATAGAGCAGACAAAACTCAGACCTGAACTCGACAAAAAAGAAAAGAAAATCGACAAAAATAAAATGAATGCTGACGCGGCCTAGCTCAGTTGGTTGAGCATGCAAGTGGTATTCATGAGGTCGTGGGTTTGATTCCCCACGGCATCCATTTGTCCCCCCACAGACTCCTGCAGCGCACTTTGGGCTTGCCACCTGAGATAGACGGTTCGCCCCCGCTGGACTTGGTAGGGGAAAAGGTTGGCCCCTTTCAACCCTGAACGGGTAGGCTCAACCGGGAAGGCTCAACCCTGAGGGGGTAGGTAGCCTAGGATAGATCAGGGAGGAAAGTGTCCTGTAGGTCCAGCAACTGGACTTAGATAGATATAGGCATGAGGGTAGGTAGTGTGAGGCATATTGGAGAAAAGAATATAGCTTAGTTATTAAAAAAAAAAAAAAAAAAAAAAAGAATGCTGAAGGGACCAAACGGGAGTCTGGTCAGGGATGTGCCCGTGGGCCACCAGGACGTGCACACAAAGGGTCTGCACGGCCTGGGGGCCGATGCAAAACTGTCAGGCCTGATCGGGTCCGTTTAGGAGCCCCTAGGATACCGCATCCTATGCCAGTGGCAAAAAGTCAAGCTCGCTTTCCTCAACAGTCCGGACATGCAACAGGGGACCATGGTGAAGTTCAAGAGAGTCTGGTCGGTGAGTGGCAAGGTGGCAGACATAAATGGCAGCAGCCTTAGATGGAAGGACTGACACAACTCCGACTCAGGGCTCAGAATGCAGATTACGCAGCAACAACGTCCACAAGACCCCAGCCAGGTGACTTAATCAGAGCAAGAGAGTAAGAGGCTGGAAATGTAGAATACCAGTCTCTGGCCAGGGCCATCAGCGGTTACAACAGGGACTGGCAAGGTTTTGCGGCAGGTGGTTCATATCCACACTCCTCCTGTGTTTCTTCGGGTCAAGTTAATTTGTCAGTCAGGTCTTGCCGGTCAAACCTGAGAGGAAACACCGAGGGAAGGCAAGCTGACAGTCAATCCTCCGAGCAATTGGAGCAAACAATGCTGCTAAGGGGTCTTTCGGGCAGACCGTAGGAAGCATGAATGTGTCATTATTGTATCTACAACTTGCCGGGGGAATAGGAACCGGAACAACGCTCCCCAGAATGGATAAGGAGCCAGGCCCATAAAAGCCTGTTCCATTACAAAAACAATGAAAAAAAATGTCTTTTTAAACTGAGTGAGGACGCCGCCCGGGGGGACCGCCCGGGTAAACCGGGCGGGCCAAAACAACGCCCATATATAGCCCCTCATTTGTTGTCCTCTTCTCTCTCTCTGCCTACGGTTTACCGGGCAGTTCTGTTTGTGACGATATATATATACTACTCACGATGTGGCCCCGAACGCTGAGGGCCTGGGACATGATCAGCTCGGACTGCATTTAACCCCGCAAGGCATAGACCACACGGGAGATTTGCAAATGGCTGACCAGGATCATATGGATGAACCGCGTACTTGTGCCCCACCCTGTGTGGCGCCGAACGCTGAGGGACTGGAACATGATCTGCTTGGACTGCATTTAATCCCGCATGGCGTAGACCCCACGAGGGATTTGCAAATGGCTGACCAGGATCATACGGATGAACCGCATACTTGTGCACCACCCTGCGCAG